TTAGGTCTTCCTTCAGGAAACAAGAGCGGTTTCCCCTATCAATTGCTTTACAAGGTGATCATCACCTCCATATCCCGTTTATACGGGTGAATGATGCTGGAAGCACCTCAAAGCTCTGAAAGTAGCGTTTGAAAAGCGTCCAGACTCAAACACCGTCCGTATCTCAATAGTAAAGTCCACAACTTTGAAAACTATTGTCCGTCTTTTTCGTTCTATTTTTTAAACAACTGTTCCAAGAATATAATATCTTTTGAAAGAAATTAAGGCTGCTTTCCAAAATGTGTATCTTCCTTCCCTGGACATCTGTCTGTCTCAATTGGATCGGTCTTTGCATGAGATTATTCAACGTCTTGGAATTGCAATACATCAACTTTTAAGGAACTGTGGTCGTCACTTATTGGAATCTTCCAATAAGTAAAAGCGAGACACTTTATCCCGTTCCGGCTGCCTGACTTCTGCGCTGATGACTAGTAAAACTTTGCACAAAATGCGGAAAAAAAAAAAACCACTGTGTGTGATTTCAGCGTAATTCTGGAGCTTGCACACATGCTAGCAAGAAACTTACACTCGTAAGAAAACGTTAAACGCCATTCTAGCTGTTCTGAAACTTCCCTAAATAGGCGGCGTGATTAAGAGTTCTGTTTAAAAGGTGCAGAGCAGAGGATGGTTTCGATCTATCAATCTCTGGGTTATGGGCCCAGCACGCTTCTGCTGCGCCACTCTGCTGTTGGTTGTTGGCAGTGCCACATCAAACAAAGAAATACCGGCTCCTTGGTGAGTGTACTGGCACACTAACTACTGTTGCACCATACAAGTGGGAGTGACACATTGGTGGTGGTAGTGGGATTCCCCATTACCCATAAGGCTCTTTGAGTGGACTGGTCAGGAAAATGGGGTAGCTTGTTAGCACCACGGGGGGAAAAAAATTTGGTGTCTAAACGAGAAATGTTTTGCGTGTATATAAGAAAGTACTGCGTTTAAATGAGATTTGTTTTGCGGTTATATGAGATAACATTGGGCTAAAACAGGATAATCAGTTGGTGAACAGTCCTGTCATTGTTGGTCAATCATTGAATCTTTAAGCACAAAAACCTGCAGATGAATTATTTTACACAAAAAGAAGGATATTCTTCTGTTCTTTAAGTCATTCTTCCTCTTGTGCTGTTTAAGTCAATGCTAGTTTGTATGGGACAATATAATGCAAGAGATTAATATTGTAGGCAATATTGTTCATAAAAGAATGATTG